TCAGGGAGGCCTGGACCCAGGCTAGGAAATGATTTTTGCCACAGTTGTGGCAGGAAGATGGATGGCCTGTTGCTGCCTCAGGCTGGACTCCCGGGTTTGCTTCAGGGGCTAATAAAGTACTTGGAAGAACAGATGATTGTATTCAGTTGGTTAGGGAAGAAACAGTCAATGGGACTGGTACTCAGGCTGAAGGAGCTCAGGCTGGTGTCCCCAGGGCCCAGGAGAAGCTAGGAGATCTCAGACCCAGGCCAAGTCCTGGTTGAGGGAGCCTTCCAGTCCCCAGGAAAAAGTTCCTAGACAACCTGTGTGAATCCCAGTCCTCAGGCAGGAAGTGTCCAGGGAAGGGAGTCATGGAGGAACATGTATTCTGGTCACTGGCATCTGACATGTGGGACAGGGTAAGCCTGTGAGCTCCCACAGGAAGGGAGGCAGGAGAGCGGGGTGAGCTGTAAAGACCTCTGATCTGGATGGAGATTGTTCTATATCCCAAGGGTGACAGGGAACCACTGGAGGAGACCAGAGTCACTCGAGCTTTAGATACCTCTAGAGTGGGTGGACAGAGAGATGGGGCAGGGAGATGCAGTGAGACGCCAGACAGGCAGGAAGGACAGGCAGTGGGAGAGACATAGTCAACTAGTATGTCATGGTTTGGGGGTAGATAGAGGGCAAGCAGGACAGCGATGTCCCTGGACTTCTGGCTTGGGCACTCAGCGTGACAGCGGAGACAACCCAGGGAACAGTTTAGAGGGCAGTGATAAGCTGGGTTGGGCCATGTGGTCATGGTGTGCTGGGCAGTCACAGTGGAGGCCTCATGCTTGGCCCTAGAATTTACATCTCATCTAGAGTCTGAAGATGGAGACACTGAAGCCGGAAAGATTAAGTGCTGTGCCCACGATTGCAGGGATAGGCTGGAAGAGAATTGGGGTTTTAACTCAGGTTTATGTGATTGCAATTTTCTGATTGCAATCCTTAGAGGGAGGGGGACGAGGCAAGAAGGACTTTGTTTTTTCTTTTTCCTTTTCTTTGGAGGTTATGGGGCTTGAACTCAGGACTTAGACTCTGTCCTTGAGTTTTTTGTTTTGTTTTTTGGTCGTTCGTGGGGTCTGAACTCTGGGCCTGGGCACTGTCCCTCAGCTCTTCAGCTCAAGACTAGCATTCTACCACTTGAGCGTCAGCTCCACTTCTGGCTTTTTCTGCTTATGTGGTGCAAAGGAATCGAACCCAGGGCCTCATGCATGCAAGGCAAGCACTCTACCACTGAGCCACCTTCCCAGCCCCGTGTCCTTGAGCTCTTTTCTCAAGGCTAGCCCTCTACCACTTTGAGCCACAGCTTCACTTTCAGTTTTATGGCGGTTACTTGGAGATAAGAGTCTCACAGATTTTGCAGCCAGGATTGGCTTTGAACCAAGATCCTCAGATCTCAGCCTGAGTAGCTAGGATTACAGGTGTGAGCCACCAGCACCTGGCTAGGAAGGACTTTCTTGGAGGGAGGAATTTGAATGAGAAAAGCAAGCCCCTATGCTGTCTGGTGGCAGGGCTGTGCCAGGGGAGGAGGGGAGGAGAGGCAGGCAGACACTGCCACCCCAAGCAGTCCCTCCCTTTGCTTGGGGTTGCCGGGGACAGCATCATCCATCTGTCAACCTGGAGGTGTAAAGCTGGGGAATAAACACCAATTAACCACCCAGAGGTTGCCTAATGAATATTGCTTGCTCAGCCCTGATAAAGGGCTCATTTGTGAACTATTGGCTACAGGCTAGATGAGAGGAAAGCGGAGGGACAGGCTAAGCAGAAATTGTTCCTGATTTAAGAGTAAGCGGACAAGACTAATTTATTGAGGCTTCTGCTTACAGCCAAGTCAAGAGGCTGGGAGGAGGGTGTGGGAAGAGGTAGGGGTGGGGAGGGAGGCAGGCAGCAGGGTGGTGAGGGCAGGGGATCCAGGACTGGGTGAAGTACTGCCTGTAAGAGTCAAGGCTCAGCCAGGCACCAGTGGCTCATGCTTGTAATCCTAGCTACTCAGGAGGCTGAGATCTGAGGATTGTGGTTCAAAGCCAACCCAGGCAGGAACGTTTGTGAGAATTTTTTTTTGTTGTTGTTCATGGTGCTTGAACTCTGGGCCTGGGTGCTGTCCCTCAGCTCTTCAGCTCAGGTGAATCTCTACCACTTGAGCCACAGCACCACTTCTGGTTTTCTGGTGGTTTATTGGAGATACGAATCTCATGGACTTTTCCTTCCCAGGCTGGCTTTGAACCTCAATCCTCAGATCTCAGCCTCCTAAGTCACTAGGATTACAGACGTGAGCCACTGGCCCTAGGCTTGTGAGACTTTTTTTTTTAAGGTCCAGTCGTGGGGCCTGAACTCTGGGTCTGGGCGCTGTCCCTCAGCTCTTCAGCTCAAGGCTAGTGCTCTACTACTTGAGCCACAGCGCCACTTCTGGCTTTTTTTCTTTTTGCTTATGTGGTGCTGGGGAATCGAACCCAGGGCCTCATGCATGCAAGGCAAGCGCTCTACCACTGAGCCACCTTCCCAGCCCCGGCTTGTGAGACTCTTATCTCTAATAAAACACCAGAAAACCGGAAGTGGTGCTGTGGCTCTAGTGGTAGAGCACTTGCCTTGAGCTGAAGAGCTGAGGGACAGTGCCCAGTCCCAGAGTTCAAGCCCCAAACCAACAACAACAAAAAAGGTCAAGGCTTCCAGGTTCCTGGTGCTGGACAGCTGTGGAGCTAAGGAGGAACATAGCAGAGGGCATCTGGGAGCTGCTAGGAGAGCTCAAGAGGCCGGTGAACCCAGCAGAAGGATATAAGCTTACTCCTGGATCCTGCCAAGTATGCGTGGCTCGGACCTCTATAATCCTAGCAACTCAGGAAGCTGAGATCTGAGGATCGATTCAAAGCCAGCCTAGGCAGCAAAGTCCATGAGACTCTTGTCTCCAATTAATCAAAGTAGAGATGTGGCTCAAGTGGGAGAGCACTAGCCTTGAGCATAAAACTAAGCAACTGTTCAAGCCCCAGCATTTAGCACCAGACACAGACACACAGACATACACATTCCTTGCTCCTGATCTTCATAGCTATGACTTTTCCAGGTCTCAAAAGCAGAACTATACTCTGCTTGTGCCAGGTCCAATCTGAAGCACTGGGTGGCATCCATCCTGAGGCAACCCCCCCACCAAGCCCTCCAGTCTCCCTCTGCCAGATCACCAAGTGCCTTGGTGATGCAGGCCATGCATCCGGGTTTTGGAGCTAGAGGATCAGCCTTGGTCATGGCTGCTTTGTGAGCACAGGAACAAGAAACCCACAGCCTGCAATCTCGGTCTGTGCCAAGGTCCAAGTCCAGCAAGGCCCCGTCAACCTGAACCTGCTTCTTCCTTGTAAAGTGAGATGGTCACATCTGGAGGGCCAAACTGGGGGCTGAGGCCCCTGTGGACCACAGAGTGAGGGGATTCAAGCACTGGCCTGGCCTCTGTCCTGGCCTTGGCTCAGCTGTTGACAGTCTGGGAAGCAGGCAGTCTTGGTGGAAGGGACCAGCCTCGTAGGCATGTGGTCCCCAAATGGTGGCAGGAACAGCCTGTCCTAGGGTGGAAGCTTTCTAGGGCAAAGCTTTAGACCTCAGGCCTCTGCAGTTGGGTGAGCTAAAATCTTACCCCCAGGACTCCTCAGGCCTGGTTCATGCAGCTCTCCTCATGACCTCCAGAAGTCAGCCAGCAAGGACAGCAAGCAGAGCCAGCCCATCACTCACACCAGTCATCCTCTCCCTCTCCCAGATCAGACCCTACCCTGACACTGAGCATGCTAACCAAGTTACACTTGGGTCCTACCTAATTTGTCACAGGAGCCCTGGGAACACTGGGCTTCTGGAACCTGGTGAGGATGTGGGATGTGGGCCAGGCACTTGGCTGTTCAACCTCAAGCAAGTTACTTTCTTTGTTTCCTGCAGAGGAGGCAATGCTAAGGTTTTATTGTAAGCACTAACTCAAAGGGCTTGTTCTACAACACCTGTTGTGGGTTCAGCAAGCATCACACTCTCTCTCTTGGGGGGGGGGCGCCTCTGTTTCCAGGCCTGGTAGAAACATCATGAATTTGGGAGGTATGTCCATGTTCCAGCCCTAGATACCTGGGTAGGCCACCCTGGTGGGCCTGCAGCAGCAGCAAGGCCCGCCTAGAACAGTGCTAGCCAGAGCAAGGGTTCAGTAGAGATTGCTCACACAAATGGAATGGACCAGATGGATCATTAGAAAGCGAAAGGATTCCCCGCACAAGGTAAACTCAACAACCCTGCCAGTCTTCTTCCCGCGCCTGCTCACTCCACCCTCTGCTATCCTGTCAGCAGCTGGCAACAGACTGGATCCCCAAGGACAGCTTCGCCGAGTTCTGGCCTGCCCCCACCGCCCAGTCCAGCGCACAGGGTCCTCTTGTGTTTTCTGACTCACTCTCCTGTCTGGATTGACTTTATCTGGCTGGCTCTTCAGACAGATTTGGGGTTACAGCAAACATCCTGGCTAGAAATGGGGCAAGGCAGATTGGCTGGCTGGCTGCGCTTGATGAATGACCTGTAAGGCACCTTCCTGCCCAACCTGCCCTCCCTCCAAAACTCCCAAGCCTGCCACCTGAGTCTCAGGGCTGCCACAGCGCTTGGCCTTCCTCTCCCTGCCAACCCCAAGGCCTTAGCTCCTCAGGGCCCTGGGGGCTAGTATCTCTCACCCTTCCCCCTCAGGCTGAGCGGCTGGATTCTGAGAGGTCAGGCAGATCTGAAGCATGCCTAGCTGTGGTCTGGGAACAAATTCTCCTCCTCTGAAAGTAGCCAAGGCTTCCAATTTGGTGAGAAAGCGGGACAGAGCCAGATGGCACATGGAACAAGCACTGTCAAATCTGTGCCCAGCGCCTCCCAGTGCCCACCCTAAGGTTTTCCCCTTATGGCACACCAAGCAGGGTGTGCAACAGAGAGCCCTCTGCTCCTGCTGGTGGGGCCAGGGCTGCTCATAGGACCAAAGGCTTTCACAGTGGTGAATTTGAGCATCTACTTTATTGGTTTCCTGTTGCTATGGCAACAAACAACACAGACATTCTCATGGGTTTCTGGAGGCTATAATCTAAAATCAGTCTCACTGAGCTAAAGTCTGAAGTTGTCAGTAAAGCCAGTTCTTTCTGGAAGTCCAATGGAGAAAATCCATTTCCTTGCCTCCTCTAGCTTCTGAAGGCAGCCTACATTCCTTGGCTTGTGACCTCTTCTCTGGACTTGTACTTGGGGATTTGAACCAAGGGCCTCAGGCTTACTAGCGAGTTGTGATAGCACTGGGGCACCAGCCATTACCCTTGAATTTTTGTGCTGGTAGTGGGATGTGAACTCTGAGCCTCAAGCTCTCACTTGGCTTTTTCACTCAAGGGTGGTGTTCTACCACTGGAGCCATACCTTCACTTCCTGCTTTTTGCTGGTTAACTGGTAATAAGAGTCTCGGAGACATTTCTGAACTGTGATTCCCAGATCCCAGCCTCCTTAGTAGCCAGCATTATAGGCTTGAGCCATGGGTGCCTGACCCCTCCCAACTTGTTGCTCTTATTAGCACATCTGCTTGTTTCCCTTAATACTGACCTCTACGATCTCATCCAGCCCACCTTGATAATTCCAGACCATGTGTGTGTGAAGACTTAGTTGTAGCCACAAAGCCTCTCCGGCCATGTGGGGTCCAGCCCACAGGATCCTGGACGAGGACCTAGGCATCTAGGGGCCACAATCAGCTTGTGACAACTAGCAGCAACCAAACCCCTCCTGCTGTTCCAGTGACTGTCAGGGGAAGGGTTGGGGAACGTTTCCTTCTGGAGTCAGCGGGATGCTCCCTAACCTTATTTAAGGCCTAGGCCTCACCAACCCTCCCTGCTTCTGACCAGAGAAACTGATGCAATGTCTCCTCAGAAGTCAGGCAACGAACTAAAACCTCAGTGCTGGAGAAAGGGCCAGGGCCAGCCAAGAAGCTTGTGGTGGCCTGAGAGTACATGCTGAAAGCCAGCCGGCAGCAACAGGCCCTTAGCTGGGAAGGAGCAGGAAGAAGGCTTCGGGGCCTGCTGAGGGTGCGGGAGCCCTGAGGACGGTGGCGCACGTCAGCCAGAGCTGAAGTACGGCTGCAGGGTGCCTCGTGCAGCAAAGGTGATCTGCGTCTGCGGAGATGATGGAGACTGACTGGGAGCGGCTCAGGTGGCGAAGAGCATGACTCGGCTGTCCCCAGCGTCTTGAGGATGAGGAGGAGAAGTGGAGTTCCAAAGTCCCCTGGGCTTTTTCTTTGTAGAAGAGAGCAGAGGGGACAGGGCAGTGGCAGTGGCAGTGGCAGGTGGGGGAGGCTCTTGCTACCTCTTCTCCATGTTTTGCATCTGTAAACTCAGGGAGGTAAAGCTGGCCAGGAGGTCAGTCACCTCATCAACCTGCAAGAAGAAATGCAGCCTCTGTTCCAGGGTGCCAGGTTCCCACTAGCCTGTCCCCCCCACAAAGCAGATATTGTCTCCCAGTGGGACAGTTGGCACCAGGTGACCCGGTGCTCCAGCCAGATAGCAGGCCGTGAGCACAAATCCACCTCTGTAGGCTCAAAGGAAGTGGTGGAGGCTCGGGCCTCGGTGGGCGGCAACCCCTGACACAGCTGGTTCGTGCTGTGCGGGTGTGGCCCCAGGGCTGGACCTGTGGCTGCAGGTTACCTGCTCTTTGGTGCTGGTCATCTGGAGCCTGGTGCAGAGGTCATCCAGCCTGTCCCGCTGCTCATGCTGCCCCAGGCGCTCCAGGTACTCCCGCAGCATATGGATGATCTGCAAGAGAGGCTGAGATGAGCGGGCGCGTTCTGACTTGACCCAGAAAGGGGGCGCAGAGGGGTCTGGTGGGGTGCTGTGGGCGGGTCCAGTGCAGGAGTCCTCTGGGGTCGGTAGGAGATGACTTGGAGCCCTGGGACCAGGGGCAGGTGTCCTAGGGAGAGGAGCACAGGAGCGTGTGCTCACCTGCTTCACCTCCAGCCGCACAGCCTCCAGACACTGAGAATGGCCCTCCTGCAGGATGTTCAGCTTCGACTTGGCCAGGTGCAGGGGTGTGCGGCCAGCTCTATCCAGGGCATCTACACGGGCCCCTGTGGGAACAGGCAGAGGGAAGCATGCTGGTGGTAAGGGTAAGTGAAAGGAGCAAGAAGAAGAGACTACATACCTCCTCGGAGCAGCGTGGTGATGACAGGGACGTGGTTGGTGCAGGCCGCTGAGAACAAAGAACAGAGATTTAAGAATCCAGGAACCGCTGGGCATCTGTAGCTCATGCCTGTAATCCTAGTTTACTTGGGACCATGAGATCTGAGAATCCCAGTGCAAAGCCAGCCTGAGCAGGGAAGACTTTTTTTTTTTTTTTGGTCCGTCATGGTGTTTGAACTCTGGGTTTGGGCGCTGTCCTGAACTCGTCAGCTCAATACACAAGCTCTACTGTTTGAGCTACAGCACCACTTCCGGTTTTCTGATGGTTAATTGAAGGTAAGAGTCTCACAGCCTTTCCTCTCCTGGGCTGGCTTCGAACCTCGATCCTCAGATCTCAGCCTCCTGAGTAGCTAGGATTACAGGCATGAGCACCTGGTTGTGAGACTCTTATATCCAATTAGCCAACAAAAAGGCAGAAGTGGAGCTATGGTTCAAGTGGGAGAATGCTAGCCTTGAACAAAAAGCTAAGGAAGAATGTGAAGTCCTGAATTCAAGCCCCAGCTCTGGAACACACACACACACACACACACACACACACACACACACACAGCCCCAGCTCTGGAACACACACACACACACAGCCCCCAGCTCTGGAACGAACACACGAACACACGAACACACACACACACACACACACACACACACACACACACACACACACACACACACACACGGAAGCACTATAATCCTAATGAGGAGGCTGAGATATGAGGATCTCAGTTTGAAGCCAGCCTGGGCAGGAAAGTCTGTGAGACTCTTATCTTCATTAAAATAGCAAAAACAAAAACACAAACAAAAGTAGCTATGGTTCAAGTGGTAATGCACTAGCCTTCAGCAAATTCTCAGGAATAGCACCCAGGCTCTGATTTCAAGCTCCAGGATCAGCAAAGAGAAAAGAAAAAAAAGAGAAAGAGAATCCAGGAGGAGGGCTGTGGGCTGGGTTTCTGAATATGCCCACACCAAACTATGCCTCCTAAAAAGGTGTCACCAGGGCTGCATCTGGGCATTACTGAGCAATCACATCTAATTCTCTCCTTGCACATCTGGGGAAATCGAGGCCTGGAGATGGGCCCTACAAGCCATAGTGAGTTGGCAGCAGGTCAAAAGCCAGGTAGGGGTCTCACGACATGCTTTCTAGTGAAAATGCCATGTCTAGGGGCGGCCGATGGCTGGGTGACTGGACAGGCATGGGACCCAGGCTAGTGCCAAGTGCGGCCTCGGGGCTCGGGCTCACTGGATGCTTGGAGACGCTACTGGGATCCTGAGGGACAGATTCCCCACTTGGGGGCTAGTCTGTTCTAGAGGTATCTCGTCAGCTTTTGGGGACTCACCCAGGTGCAGTGGTGTGTTGCCCAGACCGTCCCTCTGGTTGGGGTCAGCCCCATGGTCCAGAAGCAGCTGTACTGGAAAGAGAACCCAAGAGGAACTGGGTTTTGTTTTGTTTGTTTTGTTTTGTTTGCCAGTCCTGGGGCTTGAACGCAAGGCCTGGGATCGGTCCCTGAGCTTCTTTTGCTCAAGGCTAGCACTCTTACTATTTGAGCCACAGCACCACTTCTGGCTTTTGCTGCTTAGGTGGTACTGAGGAATTAAAGGAATTAAACCTAGGGCTACATGCATGCTAGGCAAGCACTCTACCACTACGACACATTCTCAGCCCTGAGGAACTGTTTTAACTGGACCCGCACCCATAGTCTAGCTACAGAGGTTTGCTCAATGTGTAATTTCTCTCACTCATTTTTGTATTCATCCGCTTTTCCTCATTCATACACAATGGGTTCCTGTGCAGGATCCTGGATGCCAGAACCTGTGCACGTGCTATAGAACTGAGTTGGGATTTTTTTTTTTTTTGGTGGTACTAGGGTTTGAACTCAGGGCTTCGCGCTTGCTAGGCTGGTGCTCTACCATTTGAGCCATACCTCCAGCTCCTTAGTTTGTTGTTTTCTTTGTGCTGGTATTAGGGGTTGAACTCAGGGGCTGAGTGCTGCCCCCTAAGTTTTTTGCTCAAGCCTGGCAGTGCCACAGCCCAACCTGAGGTTTGTCAAGGAGGGGAGCTCGCTGTCTAGTGGCCTGGCTCTCACTATGGTATTAACAGAGAGAAGCAGGAGACGCCCTTTTCTCAGCTTTCAAACCTCAGTCCTGGTCAGATGCCGGCGGCTCACACCTGTAATCCTAGCTCTTCAGGTGGCTGAGGTCTGAGGATCACGGTTTGAAGCCACCCTAGGCAGGAAAGACCATGAGACTTACCACCCAAAAGCCAGAAGTGGAGCTGTGGCTCAAGTAGTAGAGGGCCAATCTTAAACAAAGAAGCTCAGGGACCTTAGGATCCTCCTGGTGGCCTCTGGAGAGACACTGCTTCACCTGCCCTGCGCATGCCCAGTACTTACCAATCTGGTCATTGCCATTGCAGGAGGCGAAGTGGAGGGCAGTGCGGCCCTTGTCATCAGCTGCACAGGGATCCGTGCCATCGTCCAGCAGCTGCTGCACTGACACCACCAAGATGGGGGGAAGGGCAACAAAGCAGAAGTGTTAGCTATGCTGCAGTCCCGGAGCAGGCAGGGGTCCCCCTAGACAAGGCATTCCTAAGGCATGGCAAAGCTTCTCCCCAAGGGGTCAGCATGGCAAGGAATGTGTTTTCTTCGGAACACAACTGAGCACAAGACCAAGGGGCACACAGACTAAGTCCTAGGCTAAACTAAGTAAACAAGCAAGGGGGCAAGCTGGGCAGTGGTAACTCATGCCTATAATCCTAGCTACTTAGGTGTTTTTGGTTGGTTTTTTTTTTTTTGGTCAGTCGTGGGGCTTGAACTCTGAGCCAGGGTGCTGTCCCTCAGCTCTTTAGCTAAGGCCAGCGCTCTACCACTTGAGCCACAGCACCACTTCAGTTTTTCTGAGTGGTTTATTGGAGACAAGAGTCTCATGGCCTTTCCTGCCCAGGCTGGCCTTGAACCATGATCTTCAGATCTCAGCCTCCTAAGTAGCTAGGATTTCAGGTGTGAGCCACTGGCTAAGTAGACATTGGCTACTTAGGAGGTTGAGATCTGAGGATCAGGATTTGAAGCCAGCTGGGCAGGAAGTCTGTGAAATTCCTTCTCCAATTAACCACCAAAAAGTCAGAAGTGGAGGTGTGGCTCAAATGGTAGAGCCAGCCTTGAGCAGAAAAAGGAACAGCACCCAGGGCCCTGAGTTCAAGCCCTACTATGGGCACACAGAAAAAAGTAAGGAACATACTGCCAATAGCACCTGACAGTGGAAGGAGCTGGCCTGGGGTGAGCAGAGGCCTGAACTTGGGCCCCAGGTCATGGCAAATGTATATAATCTCTGTGCTGCCAATCTCCAGAGCTGCTGAGATGAGAATCATGGGAGTGGAAGTTCTCGGTAGAACACAGGAGCCCTGTAAGTATGAGGCATTATGCTCTAATGCACATATCAGCTAAAATGGGGGAAAGTGCTACTCAATGTTTTAGTATCTGTCTCCCGGCAAGAAGCTTCTCGAGGGCTTGAACCATTCTGCCCAAAGCCCAGGCAGCACTCTTCCAGCTGAGTCAGTACTGCTTTCACCACCAAGAGTGAAGGACACTGAGGGAAGGAGAACATTCTGGTTCCCAAAATAAGAGAATGTGTTACATTACAGGTATGCATAGCAGTTTATAAACTCATAAAGTCCTCAAGCTGGGCCCAGATGGGTCACACCTATATACTAGCTCTCCAGAAGGCCTGCTTGAACTGGAGGATCCAAGTTCAAAGCCAGCCCAGGAAGAAAGGTTTGCTAGGCTGGGTGCCAGTGGCTCATCCCTGTAATCCTAGCTACTCAGGAAGTTGAGATCTGAGGATCCTGGGCAGGAAAGTCTATGAGACTCTTATCTCCAATTAACCACCAGAAAAACCGAAGTGGTGCTCAAGTGGTAGAGTGCTAGCCTTGAGCTGAAGAGCTGAGAGACAGTGTGCAGGCCAAGTTCAAGCCCCATAACTGACAAAAAAAAAAAAAGAGAGAGAGAGAGAAAGATTTGCTAAGCATGAGGCCCTGAGTTCAAATCTGGTACTCAGAAAAACAGTCCTCAGCACAGGAACGGAAATAGTTGTTGAAATAGTGAGGACAGTTCCTTACGTGGCAAAAAGGACTTTGCAGATCTGATCCAGGCTAAGGACTTTGGGAAGCAGAGATTATCCAGGATTATCCAGGCCCAATGTAATCGCACCAGGCCTTGTAATCAGAGAGCCTTTCTCTGCTCCAAGGACCAGAGAGTATCAGAGAGAGAAGAGAAGAGCCCACTGTGACTAGCTTTGAAGATGCCGGGACTAAGAGCCAAGAAACGTGGTGTGGCAGGGTGCTAGTAATCTTATCTACTAAGGAGGCTGATCTGAGGATTGTGGTTCAAAGCCAGCCTAGGCAAGGAAGTCTGTGAGACTCTTATCTCCAATTAAGCACCAAAAAAAAAAAAAAAGGAAGTAGAGCTGTGGTTCAAGTGATAGAGTGTTAGTCTTGAGCATAAAAAGCTTAGAGGGGCTGGGAAGGTGGTTCAGTTCTAGAGGGCTTGCCTTGCATGCATGAGGGTCTAGGTTCGATTCCTCAGCACACCATAAGCAGAAAAAGCCAGAAGTGGCGTGGTGGCTCAAGTAGTAGAGCCCTAGCCTTGAGCTGAAGAGCTAAGGGACAGTGCCCAGGCCCAGAGTTCAGGCCCCGTGACCAGCCAAAAAAAAAAAAAAGCTTAGGAACAGTGATCAGGTTTTGAGTTTAAGCTCCATGACTAACCAAGACGGGGGAAACAAAAAAAGAAAGCAATGCAGCATCTCTGCCACCTAGATTTTAGCCTGGTCAGTGAGACCTGTACAAGACTTCTGGCCCAGGGAATTATAACAAATTTGTGTTGCTTAAGCCACTAAGTAGGGGTAAAAGTGGCCATAGAAAGCTAACACCACTTTTCTCTGACTCATAGGACACATTAAGTCCATAGACAAAATTAATTTTTTTGTCCTAGATTGACTTTGCTATTTACCTTTGATGTAGTTACTGCCTCCTTAGCTCAGGAGTGCCAGAAAACAGTAGCAGAAAACCAGACAGGACCTTCTGCGAGCTGCATTCACACCTCCCAGGGGCTCTGCCAACTGCAGCCATGAATGCCACTTGACCTGACCTCACAGTGTACAAAGCAGCTGGAGGTGGCAGATGTCACTTGGCAGTTAAAGCAGTGTTTACTCTCATTAGCCAGAAGAAGTTCCAAACAAGCACACTATAGACAGGGTCTCTAGCATCAGGAATCCCAAAGGACAGTAAGTGCTCTGACACAGGAGGGCCCAGGATGACAGGGGAGAATGTGAATCTGTATGTAAGTCTGGCCTGCTTTCTGCAAGGTGACTGCAAAGACATTGGTAAATACAGTGGCCCTGTGCCAATCGAGTGAACTTTTTTTTTGTCGGTCATGGGGCTTGACTTCTGGGCCTGGGCGCTATCCTTCAGCTCAAGGCTAGCGCCCTACCACTTGAGCCACAGTGCCACTTCCGGTTTTCTGGTGGTTTATTGGAGATCAGAGTCTCAGACTTTCCTGCCAAGGCTGGCCTTGAACCATAATCCTCAGATCTCAGCCTCCTGAGTAGCTTGGATTACAGGTGTGAGCCATTGGCACCCGGCTTCTTCTTCTTCTTTTTAACCATGTTTTTTGTTTTTGGTATTGGGAATCAAACCCAGGACATTGCACTTGCTAGGCAAGCACTTTGCCACTGAGCTATATCCCAGCCCAAGGGTGAGCTTTATACTAGCTGGGCATTGATGTCTCACGCCTGCAATCCTAGCTACTCGGGAAGCTGAGATCTGAGGATTAAAGTTCAAAGCCAGCCTGAACAGATAAATCCAAACTTCTTTGTGTGTGGGTGTCATTCTTGGGGCTTGAACTCAGGGCTCTGGGTGCTGTCATTTGAGTTTTTCTCAAATCTAGTACTCTACCATTTGAGCCACATGTCTATTCCAGCCTTTTGCTGGTTAACTGGAGATAATAGCCTTAAGGGTTTCTCTTCCTGGGCTGTCTTTGAACCCTGATCCTCAGATCACAGCCTGCTGAGCAACTAAAATTATAGGTGTGAGTCACCAATGCCTGGCTCCAAATACAAAATTTCATCTCCAATTAACCAGCAAAAGGCCAGACTTAGAGGTGTGGCTAAAGTGGTATAGTACCAGCCTTGATCAATAAAACTAAGAAAACACAAGCCATGTGTTCAAGCCCCAGAACTGACATTAAAAAAAAAAAAAGAAGCTGGGAGTATGGCTTAGTGTTAGAGTGCTTGCCTAGCATGCATGAAGTCCTGGGATTGATTCTTCCTCAGTTCCACATTAACAGAAAAAGCCAAAAGTGGCACTGTGGCTCAAGTGGTAGAGTGCTAGCCTTGAGCAAAAGAAGCTCAGAGACAGTGCCCAGGCTCTGAGTTCAAGCCCCAGGACTGACAAAAAAAAAAAAAAAAGAAAAAGAAAGAAAAAGAAGGGTGAGAGGAGGCCTGTCTTTCTAGGTATGGGTTACCTGGCTCTTGCCTATTACACTCTACCCCCCCACCCCCCTCCATACCAGCTCCAGGAATCCGTGGAGCCAGAATCATTGTGCACACTCACCTGTTTCCACATCATTGGCATTGGCTGAATCCCTCAGTCTCTTTAGGGCTGTGAAGAGAGTAAGAGGTAAGTTAAAAAAGAAAACCCAGAGCAGGGCGCTTGTGGCTTACACCTGTAATCCTAGCTACTCAGAAAGCTGAGATCTGAGAATCAGGGGTTGAAGTAGTCCAGGAAAAAAGTCCATGAGACTTATCTCCAATTAAGCACCAAAAGGCCAGAAGTAGAGCTGTGGCTCAAGTGGTAGAATACCAGCCTTGAGGATTAAAAAAAAAGGGGGGGGGGACAGTACTCAGGCCTCAAGTTTCAAACCCCAGATACTGTCCCCCTCCAAACACACACACACACAATTACCATGAAGAAACAGAAGGTGATGTTTCCTATTTTCCTGTGGTTACCTGCAGTAACCACAGTATTTAAAGGGAAGCAACGGTGCCAGGATACAAAATGCTACCCAGAAGAAGGAGAAACCCCAGCAAAGGCCACTTTTTAGCTGAGTGTCAGTGGCTCAGATCTGTAATCCTAGTTACTCAGGAGACTGAGATCTGAGGATCAGGGTTCAAAGGCAGCCCAGTCAGATAAACTCTTGAAAATCTTATCTCCAGTTAACCAAAGAAAAGCTGAAAGTGGAGGTATGGCTCAAATGACAAAGTAGCATCCTTGAGTGAAAAAGCTAAAAGATAAGCCGGGTGCTGGTGGCTCACACCTGTAATCCTAGCTACTCAGGAAGCTGAGTATTCAATTTTACACTCAGCAAATTAAGTATTCAACTTCGATGACCACAATGTATCTCACAAATTAGAGGTAAAGCCATGTATCAGAAAACAGTGTATAACATATAACAAAGGCAAGATAATAGCTATGTATTTAGTACCTTATTTAAGTCTAGCCACAGTCTGTAAAGGCAGGTAGCTGTACCCATGCTATAAACAGAAAATGAAGCTGAAAGAGTGCATAGTTTGCCAGGGTCCGGGCATGGAAGGGCAGTCCAATCCAGCTTTCATACCAGCTGGTAAATCTTGGCTATAGGTTCTGGCTTCCCCATTGCCCTATGAACAGGATTCTCAGCCTGGGATTAGTGGTTCATACATATAATCCTAAAGCTCTGGGAGACTGAGATTTGGAGGACCGCAGTTGGAGACCAGCCAGCTCAGGCAGTCATAAACACCCAGTCATGGAAAGTTTCTGTTCAGGATCTACCAACTGAGAGGAGTCTGCCACTGAAGCAGGAAGACGTTTTAAAAATAAACCCCGGATCCTGGGCAGCTCTGATAGTAGTAATTATTATTTATAACAGTGAAAGGAGACCCGACGGTCCCTGGGCACTGAGCAGTAGTCGAGAGACCTTGGGGTGGGGAGTTCAGGAGCCGGCGCGCTGCTCCCCGGGGCCCTCTCGGTGCACCTCCTCGCCCCGGACCCCCACCCTGCACCTCCTCGCCCCGGGCCTCACCGTGCACCTCCTTGCCCGTGGGCCCAAGCCGGCGGTGCGGCCTGGCGGCGCGCCGGAGCCGGCCGGCCGGGATCTTGCAGCGCAGCTCATCGCGCGGCTCCGCGTCCTGCTGCCACAGGACATGGAGGAAGCGCAGCGGGGACTCGGAGCCCCCGGACGCCCGGCCCGGAAGGCCTGCGCCACCGACCAGGGCGGACCCCAAGTCCGCGAAAGAGAAGAGGCCCTCGGCTTCTGCCAGCGGCTCCGGCGCCACCGCGCACTCGCCATCCGAGCTCGAGCGGCCCGAGCGCGGCTCGTCGCCCGCGCCCCCGGCGGCGGCTGCCATGGCAACGGCTCCGCGCGGGCCTCTCAGTCCGAGCCTCGTTCTCAACCGACCGACAGACCCACTTGCCTCCGCCTTGTCCTGCTGTCAAGGGAAGGCGCGGGCGGGCGGGACCCGCTTGCAACCACGGCAACCGAGCGGGAGGCGGGCTCGCGCCGCGGAGGTGGGTCGTCTGGACCAGTGACGACTCCTCTAGCCTGCATTTCCCTGCCAATTGGGAAGGGAGGGAATAGTACGAGCGAGAGGATTGGACAGCGCTTCCAGCAGCGTGACTGGCGGATGGAAGAACCAATTACAAACTTCAAATGCCTAAGGCCCTCACTTTGTGCCACTACCGGAACCAATAAAAAAAAGCTAGATACTTCCCCTCCCTCCATTAACCCCCATTGAATCATGGGAAATATGACAGGCAGGTGCTGTACCCAATCACGTGAAGACCACCGACAGCCAATCACGAAGGAAAGTGTAGCCCGGGTATTGACTTGTTTTGAATCAATGAACACATGGAAAGACGGGCTCCTCACAAAGCGAATAACATAAAAAGGAAATATGTTAAGATCTGGAAATCCTACCGCTGTAAGGTCTGAACAGGAACACCTCCCGCCCTCTTGGCTAAGTTTCCGCCCAGTATCTGTTACCTAGGTAACTGTCAGACCTGGAAGCAGTCACCTTCCCCTCCTGCTAGGTCACATCCTGGGCCACCTCTGGTCACATGCCTCCCATCTGACCTTAGGAGGTCCTAGACCCTGAGGTCACATCCAGATCCAGTGTGGCCACACCTTACTCCCACCTGGCCACACCTCTTCCTGTCCCTGGCCTAGACAAGTCCCCGCCCAGAAGTTGGTTGTCCCCCTTCACCCCCCGCCCCTTCCCTTTTCAGCCATGCTTCTCCACCGTGCATGGCTGGAGCAGCAGTTGGGTAAATAAACTTCTTTTCCTGCCTGAATACTGCATGGTGTTCTCTTCTTCGGCTACTTAATGAAACCTACCTATTTAATAGACCTTACAACCACAAACTGCGCTGTGGTAGCTTCCAGATACTATCAATTGCATTCGTCAGGGTTCTGGGAAACCCAACAGGGACAATTGATTTACAAAGTAATATAATTAGACGTAATTATTTCTATGTCAGTGACTGCTCAAAAGATGGTATCTACTGTAATTATTGATAACTAGAGCAGGTGAGGCCTCAGTACTGGGACCAAAAAAATTTGGGAGCAGCCTTGTTACTTAAGCACAGAATGGCATGCTCTAACTTGGCAATTTTCTTTTTTTTTTTTTTGGGTCCGGTGGTGAGGCCTGAACTCTGGGCCTGGGCACTGTCCCTCAGCTCTTCAGCTCAAGGCTAGCGCTCTACCACTTGAGCCACAGCGCCACTTCTGGCTTTTTTCTTTTTGCTTATGTGGTGCTGAGGAATCAACCCAGGGCCTTAGGCATGTAAGGCAAGCGCTCTACCACTGAGCCACCTTCCCAGCCCCCTTCACAATTTTCTTTAAAAACCACACCTCTTTCACAAATGCAAAAAAAAAGTGGATTATTTGCATTTTTGTCTTTCCCTTCATAACCTTCAGCTTCAGTTTTACACTCAGCAAATTCCTCAGTGACTCAAGGATTTTAATTATTTTTATTTCACTTTTTTTTTTTAACTGAAATGCAAGAGGGCTGGGAAGGTGGCTCAGTGGTAGAGCGCTTGCCTTGCATGCATGAGGCCCTGGGTTCGATTCCTCAGCACCACATAAGCAAAAAGAAAAAAGCCGGAAGTGGCGCTGTGGCTCAAGTGGTAGAGTGCTAGGCTTGAGCTGAAGAGCTGAGGGACAGCGCCCAGGCCCAGAGTTCAGGCCCCACAACTGGACCCCAAAAAAAAAAAAAAAAAAAGAAATACAAGAGATCAAGCCCGTTTTGTTTTGTTTTTTGGTAGAGTCACTCTGTAACCCAGACTAGACTTGAACTTTTTTCCCCCCAGCATTGGGGCTTGAACTCAGAACCTTATACCCTTGGTCTTTTTACTTTTGGCTAATGCTCTAGCATGAGCCACAACTCCACTCCTATTGTGTGTGTCTGTTTAGCAAAGAGAGAAGGTACTGGGCCTTGAACTGAAGGCCTGAGCACTGACTCTTAGCTTTTTTGCTCTTTTTTGTACTTTTATACTCTTAACAGCTCTACTTCCTGGCCTCTCCCTCTTCTTCCCCCTCCCCCCCCCCAATCGTGGGGGCTGAACTTTGGGCCTGGGCGCTGTCCCTCAGCTCTTCAGTTCAAGGCTAGTGCCCTACCACTTGAGCCACAGCACCACTTCTAGCTTTTTTTCTGCTCATGTGGTGCTCAGGAAACAAACCCAGAGCCTCATGCATGCAAGGCAAGCACTCTACCACTAAGGCAACTTCCCAGCCTGGCCTCTCCTTAAGTGCCACCTATATCCTGTGCTTTCACTGATCCTTTTTTTTTTGGTCGGTCATGGGACTTGAACTCTGGGTCTGGGCCCTGACCCTGAGCTCTTCAGCTCAAGGCTAATGTTCTACCACTTGAACCACAGCACCACTTCTAGTTTTCTGGTAGTAAATTGGAGATAAGAGTCTCATGAACTTTCCTTCCCTGGCTGGCTTTGAACCATGATCTTCAGATTTCAGCCTCCTGAGTAGCCAGGATTACAAGCGTGAGCCACAAGCACCTGGCTTCACTGATCTTTTTAATATCTAGAGTTAGATTATCTGGACTTTGCCAGAAAACCACACAGACATGCAGGTACAGAGAACAAAGAAAGGTTTATTCCTGGGAAAGGGGCTGGCAAGACCCCTTCTCACAAGGGAGAAGTGAGAAACAGCACTGGCTATTGTCTGAGGTGACCCATAAAACCTAATAGGTTTAGGAGGGGCTAGAAGGGGTGAGGGGGTGGAGACCCCAGTGTGGATGTGAGGGCCAAGGGCTTCATCATGGATTTATGGCTGCTGCCCAAATAGTAGATAAGGGGCCCTGCAGCTGCCCAGACCGGAAGGTCACTCTAAGGAACTCTTGCTGCCATATATATATATATACCACAGAAGAGTACCATACCAAGGTAAAGGGGTTTGGAGGCTGATTATATACTGCCTTTACTAAATGGGCTAGTGGTCCCTAGGAAGGGAGCATGCTAAGCTGTGGAGAGGGGAAGGAGCTTACTAAGCTATGGGAAAGGAGCTCATTGGGCTAACAACTAGAGAACTTTAGTTTAGATCTGGCGTTGAGATTTCTGCATCAGATGTTCCCTAACACTGCTTCTAGTCCTGATTCATAAAGTACAACTGCAGTAACAGGGGTAGGGGTTTAGGAGGTTACACTCAGGGGAGTGGAACAAACAGGACAACAGGTGAGCTACAGATAAAACCATATCAAGGGAAGCATGGCTTGAAATAAATCCAGCTGAAGAAGTCAGGCCACTGTGGAATATAACTAATGATCTTTCCTAGTCGGAAACTTCCTGCCTACAATCCCAGGAAAAAGATCAAGAGAGATGGGGCAACATTAGGCTGCTAAAGGTGTTGTACTAGGTGCTTTGGTCGGCTCAATTTCTTCCCCTTTGAAGTCTTGCCTTTCCAAGAACAAAGGGGGCTTGGGAAACCAAACACCCTTTCTGTCTGTAATGGGGTTCTGTCTGCCGATCAGAATTGCATTTCTAAACCTATTTGTTGTGCTGCAAAGCAATGGAATAAATCTGGACTCCAGTGCAATTCAGCTTCTATGATTGAAGTAGGAATGGTAGAACAGCTAACATACAACAGGAGGGGGGAGGGAGAGGGAACTAAGACAAGAGTTCTTGACAGGAGCCAGGTGCCAGTGGTTCATGCATGTAAGCCTAACCACTAAAGAGACTGAGATCTGAGGACCAAGGTCCAAAGCCAGCCCAAAAGTCCATGAGCCCCTTATTGTTAGGTTTTTAAAAAGAGGTAGCCGAGTAAGAACAGCAGCATGCACGTGGTATTCAGGTAAGGGGTAGGTTTATTCATCGTTCTGGCTGGCACCAGGCCATGTTGGCCCTCCATGCGGCTAGGAAAGGCCTGGGAATGAGAGCTGGGAAAGAGAAGGGAGAGCTGGGAAAGAGGAGAGAGCTGGGAAAGAGAAGAGAAGGAAAGAGCTGAGAAAGAGCTAGAAAAGTGCAGAGAGAGAGAGCATCTGGGCCTGGGCTAGGCCTTTTCTAGGGTATGGGGGAAGAAAGGTGTGGCCACATCAAATTCAGATGTGGCCTCAGCAGATGCAGATGTGACCTCTTCCAGGTGTCCTAGTTGCCTAGGTAACGCAGGTACTGGGTGGAGACTTTGCTGCGGGGAGGGTGGAGTCTGCTAGCCATCCAGGAGTGGACCTTACACTTATGTCCAACTAACCACTTAAAAAGAAAGAAAAAAAAACAACAACCTGGAAGTGGAGTTGTGGCTCAAGTAGTAGAGTGCTAATTGAATGAAAAACCTTGAATGAAAAACTTCAGGGACAGTGTCCAGGCCCCCGAGTTCAAGCCCCAGTTAGCACACTGCAAACAAATGAACAAAAAACTGAAAACAAAACAGGAGCCTGTCTCTGAAAGTTAAGGACACATTAACTCAGTATACCAGGACTATTTCTTCAGACTCCAATAAAACTTAGGACTGCTAGCACAGAGCCTGGCCTACCATAGGGTACCTTTTACTCTTCTTTCACTTTTCATTAGTAAATCTCCTGCTTTGGTCTCCTGTGTTCCTCTTTGAATTCCTACACTCCCCCTCCCCCCCCCCCCACCCCCACTAACTTTATGATCCCAGGACATCCAGCGACACAGTTCCAGGATGGTTTTCACCTCTGGTCATACTGCAAGGACGGAATTGAAAGTGAGCGCTCAGCAGAAAGTGCTGGGTGAGCGAGACTGCAATTGGAAATAGGATGCTTAGTATAGATGGCATCAGAGTGAATACATGACCCTTGCCATGCATCACAGGTTAACTGTGAGTCCCCAAACCTCGGGGCAGGGAGCTGTGCCCCAATGGGAAAGCAAGGGGCACTGGGAGGGGGTGAGACATGCTCTTTGTCACACAGCAAATCAGGGGAGTAGAGGCTGGAACGAAGATTCACGATTTCCTCTAGATAGTGTGTTTAAGCAGATGACTT